TCAGCCTCCTGGTGATTGGCCCAAAGTTACCCAGTCAGCTTTCATGCCTAAGGTGGGACTAGAACTCCCAGCCTCCTGGTGATTGGCCCAAAGTCACCCAGCTGACGAGACTAGAACTCACAAGCTCTCACTTTCTTGCCAGGTGCCTTAACCATTGTCCAGACCGACTCACCTTTGGTTGGACCCCCCAATCTGTGCGAGCTCCCCCCCCCCGCTCACCTGGCTGAGACCCAGATGCTTGTTGACATTCTCAGAGAGGTAGATCATGTCCCCTTCCTCGGTCAGGACCATCAGGAAGCCGTCCAAGGCCTTCAGATAGTAAGAATCCACCTGTTCCTCTGCTTTGACTTGCTCTCGCCATTCTCCTGGTTCAACAAGAGTGTGTAGAAATGGCTTTAAGGAAAGGATAATAGATTCAGAGTGATTTCCCATATCAACACTACAGGACAGAGATGTCTGGAGTGGAGTGGGCAGTGGGGAGGGGGCATCAAAAAAAGTCAGGGCAGGGGGCTGGAAAGGTGTGGTTCTCCCTAATTTATTTATTTTTTCCATGCAGTACGGCAAGAGCCACTCCAGGTAGCCCCTGACATAACAACCGGTCACTTAGTATTCGTACAAACGTCCGATGGACACCTATCTATGGGATAGTTCCCCCCCTGGATTCGAACTTCTGAGGGTCCACCTTCTCACAAGAGGGACCTAGAATTTTGACGCTTGGCCATTTTGTTGGCTGTTTGCAGCATCCTGCAGATTAAATGGCCACGTTTTAGGATGGTTTGGCTGGAAAACGGCAGCCAAAAATGGCAGCAGGCGGTTGGACAAGAACAGGGGTGTCCAACCTTGGCAACCTTGAAGACTTGGGGACTTTTAACTCCCAGCTTTGCTGGCTGAGGAACTCTGGGAGTTGAAGTCCACAAGTCTTCAAGGTTGCCAAGGTTGGACACCCCTGCTGTCAGGGTTCCGGCGATTGCCCTCATTAAATCACGAGCCTCGAGCCAAGCTTCAGAAGAATCCAAAAGATTTATGAGGAGCAACAGGTCAGCACTGACCCAGATGAAGCCAACTCTGCCACACGTTAATTTACTTACCTGTGGCCCCGTTCTCCCCGCCCCCACCCGGGTGTGTCATACATCAGATTTTCCAATGAAGCACCTTCACAGGCTGGGTGTCAAGTCAAAAGAGACTCCTTTGGTCTTTTTAGCTGCCAGATAAAGGGAGTGGGAGGAAAACAAGGCATTCTTGAAATGCCTAGATAATCACCTCAGCAGCCCAAAGTTGTCGGAGCACAAGAAGGTTATTGGAGAGCATGATGTGATGACCCTTGGAGACCGGATGTGTCCCATTGGAGAATATACATCCAGGGGGTGGGGGAAAAGACCAGGGTGAAGGGGGAAATGTGTGATGGGATTTAGTATCGGCTGCACCCAGCCACGCCCCAACATGGCAACTTCTAATAAACCAATTTACTTTTTCTGAGATGTGGCTAGAGACTTTTAATTTGAATGAGGGGGGATTTGTTGGAGCCCTGACCCTGGGTGTCATCAATCACGTTCTCCAATGAAGGATTTTCCCGGGCAGAAGATCCGGTAGCCTAGCTACAACCTTTGTAAGATAAGCGTGGAATGCACTTCTGCTTTTAAACCGCTCCTTCAGATTCCCCACCTCTCTTGTTTATGGCAACTCGAAAAGAGGCAGGGGAATGTTTTACGAGGTGCCCACTTTGTTATTATTCTGAGAACATCTGTTTGGGGTCTTCCCTGTTTTTTTGAGATCTTCCCCCCCTTGGGGGAAGGTCTCCCCCAGGGAAATCCTTACCGGAATTCAGCAGCTTATGCATTCTTAAGTAGCTGATGGTCAGCCGCATGATGGAGGCTTTGTCCAAGTGGGCGCTCACCCCCCGGGCAAAGGGCAGGGTGTGGGCCAGCTGGTAGAACACCTCCGTCTCCTTGCTGCGCCGGCATCGCGCCGCGTCTCGCGATTTCTCCTTCCGGATTTCGGTGGTGGACCTGAGAGGGGAGGAACAAGGAGACGGTCACCGGTGAGTGGGGGCTGCTGGGTAGGCAGGATTAATAGGGAACGCACCAATGAGAAGCAGAGAGATCTGAGTTCGAGTCTCCCCTCAGGCAGGAAGTTCATTAGGTGACTGTGGGTTCGGTGAGAGGCAGGTTGGCCCAGTGGTTAAGCTGCGGGCCTAGAAACCAAAAGGCTTTGAAGTCGAGTCCCACCTTAGGCACGATAGCTGGCTGGCAGACTTTGAGCCAATCACCAGGAGACGTTGAGTTCTAGTTCTACTTTAGTCATGAAAACAGGCTGGGGGACTTTCAGCCAATCACCAGGAAACTGGGAGTTCTAGTCCCGCCTTAGGCACAAAAGGCAGCCGGGTGACTGGGCCAATCACCAGGAGATTAAGAGTTCTAATCCCGCCTTAGGCACGAAAGCTGGATGGGTGACTTTGAGCCAATCACCAGGAGTCTGGGAGTTCTAGTCCCACCCTTAGGCACAAAAAGCAGCCAGGTGACTGGGCCAATCACCAGGAGGCTGGGAGTTCTAGTCCCACCTTAGATATGAAAGCTGACTGGGTGACTTTGGGCCAATCACCAGGAGGCTGGGAGTTCTAGTCCCACCTTAGGCATGAAAGCTGACTGGG